TGACCAACTTCTGGACTAGGTAGGAAGTTTTGAATCCCCAGATTACCATATGTTCTCTTGTAGTACAGTCTACATCTTAAAAGATAAAGAAAAAATAGATTAATGTCCTGTCCTCTCAGTTTGTCATGTGTATTCAACATGTCTCTTTACTCGGGTATATCTTTATAGGGAAATATGTTTCTGAAGTGACATTATAAAGGAGAATAAGTGTTCAGTCAATAATTTCTATGCATTTGTAGTATTAGGCCTCACAGTGGCCAGTGGTTGAGATGATGGGGAATATGGTCTGTGGTGTTACACACACAACTGTAACAATGGCATGAACTTGTTTTGACCCAGACTGCAGATGGAGAGAGATAGAGGCTGTCAGATCTTCCTAGCCCTTTGGTGTGGAGTGCTTATTGAATAGTAAGGAGCAGCTGTTATGGAACCTGATTTGAAATTTATCTGCAATTGAGACTGTTTGATTTCAGTTGAGATATACAATTCTACGGCCACAAAAGCTTGTGACTTTATGGTATTTGAAAGACATTTCCACAGAAACAAAAAGGTTTGTGTCTATCTGACAGTTGAATCAGCCGGTTGACTGATTTACCATGGTTGAGGGACCCCATAACTACAGTGACCAATCGGGTTAAGATCTGCTGTGGGCTAGAACAAACACGTGACACAAGAAATTGAGGGAAATTCCTCCGGCCTCAGAAAATACTTTTTTTTAACTTCCCCCTGACCAGTGAAAAGATAAATTAAGTCTTTCAGAATGCATCTGATGTGTCTCTCTCTATTTGATTATGATTAATAGTGATTTGGATATGCTAGATTCATTTTAATGTTCTTTTTTTTTTCTTTTACACAGGCCACATGATTTCTCCGTTTGCCATTTAGATTGCTAAAGCCATTTACACCCTTGTGTAACTTATGTATTGAATCTTTTTTTATTATTATTATTCATAGAAACACCTGCCCAGAGCATTCTTCTTATTTAATGTACCCATCAGAATCCCAGCGCTAGATTTTTTGTTCTCCATTTGTGTTGTTGTCACTGTGCGCATGGTGTTGTAGCAGGGCGGCTGCCGTGAAACTACATGTAGCAATATCTGGTCAGCACATGACATCATGTGACAGCTCTGCGGATGGCCCTCCCCTCAGGTATTTGTTCACAAGCTCCCAAGAGAGCTTCTGCCTGAGTCAACAACCCCTTTAAAGGCATTTGCTCACAATGGGAGAATTCTGGCTGTTTCTACATGCGCTTTCAACTTTGTTGAATGATACTTACTGCGGCAAGTAATTTTTTTTTTTCTTCTCAGAGGCTAATTCTGGGATCGAGGAGATGATTTAAACCCTTTTTTCCACTAATTACTTGCTGAACATAATTAAAAAGGCGTACTTCATGTTACTATCTAATAAGCTTGAAACGATTCCCTTGTGGAACCAGAGGCCCTGAAGACGTGTGTAACACTATTAAATCTTTACCAACCTGATGGTGATTGTCATTTTTTTTTTTTTCCTTCTCTTCCTGTTATTTTTTTTGTCCTCCAATTTTTCCCCCTTCTAATGATGTTGAGCTAATTTTCCGTCCCTTAATAGTCTTCAAAAAAGTTTGTGATGATTGCTTCATACCATTTTGGGGATTCTGGCACCATTTGAGTTTCTAAAAGTGTGGATAATAAGAAGAAATGTAGCCTGAGCAGCAAATCGACATTTTTGAAGGATCATGTGACACTGAAGGTCACTGAAGAAAATTAAGCTTTGCCATAATAAATTACATTTTAAAATATATTTAAATAGAAAACACTTATTTTAAATTGTAATAATATTTCACAGTGTTACTGTACTTACCGTGTTTTTGATCAAATAAATGCAGCCTTGGTTAGCATAAGAGACTTCTTTACAAAATATTGAAATATACTGACCCCAAACTTTTGTACGGTAGAGTACTTTATATTTTTGCTAAATTTAATCTTCTCTGGAATGCCTAATGTTATATTTTTTTCCCTCATTTAGTCTCTTGAGATCACTTTATGTGTGCTGATTCAACTGTCCCTTATGTCTCCACTTGGTGTTCAACTTTCATGAACTTTTTAATGGACGGTATAAGAGTATAAAGAGTATTGTGGGATCAATTAGATCTTTCCCCTTGTCATTACTGAGAAGGCCAGGACGGAGATGGCCGAATAAAACTTATATCCAACTCTTCATTTTTCAACAAGCTTGCAGAGATGGATCGCTCTCATATGGTAGTTCACTTAAGCTAATTGCCTGAAAAACATGACCGCTCCGTATGGTCTCATTGTGTTTTACTAACTATAGCACAACTGTCTATCTTCCTTCTTTAAAAAAAAACTCAAATTCATCAGAAGAATGTTCATTTGAAAGGTGCACATATGGCAAACCACTATCAACCATGTGAACAGTATCTTATTTTGGAGGTGAACTATTCACTTGCATTGATATCCATTGCCTGTCCTTATTTCTTTTTGGACAATTTATAAGCAAAGGCTTCTCCATATGGGTCCCAAGGACATAAGCCATGAATGCCACCCGATCGTTGACCTTTGTGGGTCTTCTCAGTAACACCCAACGGAGCCGGAGTCCTCTCGGAACCGGTGCCGGCAAGGTGTCGTTATTAAGAATAGCCACACTCTTCCTGATAGGTCTGGGAATACTCAGCTGTATCTTTGATTGGCTGATAGCTCTCTGATAGAGGACAGCTCAAGTGCTGTGCTCACAGCTGACAGGGCTCTGCTCTCACAAGACAGACAGGGAAGTGATGTCATAGAATCTGCTGTCATACAAACCTTAATGTTTACTTCAAGGTCAGTTGACGGTGTGGCCTCAAAACATGAAGGTTATTTGCTCAAAACGCTCTAAAAATGTATATAAGTGAGCTAATGATAAGAAACTTGTCAAGAATATGTCCAGGTCATATTTCACCCTAAAAGCAAAAATAATAATAATAAATAAATACATTTTGATAACAGAGTTTTTTATATATATACACAGTGGGCACGGAAAGTATTCAGACCCCCTTAAATTTTTCACTCTTTGTTATATTGCAGCCATTTGCTAAAATCATTTAAGTTAATTTTTTTTCCTCATTAATGTACACACAGCACCCCATATTGACAGAAAAACACAGAATTGTTGACATTTTTGCAGATTTATTAAAAAAGAAAAACTGAAATATCACATGGTCCTAAGTATTCAGACCCTTTGCTCAGTATTTAGTAGAAGCACCCTTTTGATCTAATACAGCCATGAGTCTTTTTGGGAAAGATCCAACAAGTTTTTCACACCTGGATTTGGGGATCCTCTGCCATTCCTCCTTGCAGATCCTCTCCAGTTCTGTCAGGTTGGATGGTAAACGTTGGTGGACAGCCATTTTTAGGTCTCTCCAGAGATGCTCAATTGGGTTTAAGTCAGGGAACTGGCTGGGCCATTCAAGAACAGTCACAGAGTTGTTGTGAAGCCACTCCTTCATTATTTTAGCTGTGTGCTTAGGGTCATTGTCTTGTTGGAAGATAAACCTTCGGCCCAGTCTGAGGTCCTGAGCACTCTGGAGAAGGTTTTCGTCCAGGATATCCCAGTACTTGGCCGCATTCATCTTTTGCTTTACCACACTACTTTAGGTAATTCAAAGTCACTGTAATAAACATAAACATGTGGACTGCACTAAACACTGTCTGTTAACTTTAGACCAGTGGTTCTCAAACTTTTTTTGGTCGCGCCCCCCTTTAAACCTATTAAAAAAAAATCTCACCTCAAGACTACCAAATAATTTCACTAAACATGAAAAATTAATGCTTTTTTAATTAAAAAAAACCTACAGGGAAAAAAACACATGCATCACTTGAAACATTGAAAAATAGCATATGAGAGTAACCGTTATTATTATTCTCTCTCTGTTATTTATTCATTTTTTTGTGGGTTTCATGCTGTCCGCTAAGGATACACACAGGCTTTCCTCCTCACCAACAACATGTCTACACCGGACGCGAGCGGTAAAATACAGTAGAACCGTTATAATCAGTGACGCTGTCTACACTAGATGCGGCGCGACAAAACCCAACATTAAACTTATGCCGTGTTCTATTTATGACGTACTGACACAAAGTTAAAATGATTTGCAACGGTCGCTTTGTCGCGTCCAGTGTAGAGCTGTTGCGGCGCGACACGACATCTGTAGCGTCCGGTATAGACACGGTGAGTGAAGCCGAGAGCAAGATATGCCTCATCATATTTTCTGCATTTAGCTTTTGAATGACCAGCACCTGCCTGGGTCTGCGACTATGGCTTTTCTCTTCCCTTTCACAAACCGATCCATCTCCCATTCTAAGTTATGTCCTTTGGCTGTTTACTGTTTTATTTCTTTTCTTTTTCTGCTGATGGCCTGCGCTCGACTTGAAGCAGCGCTGCTTAGACCGATTGGTGTGTGTCATCAAAGTACTGCGAGAGCTATAAGAGAGCGCAGACGTCTCCATGCTTTCTCTCGCCGTATTTGATGTCATACACCGATCGATCTTCAAGTCGAACACACCTCTTTACTCTCGCATGTCACGTGACTGAGTGTAATCACAGCCTCTGCGATTGAAAAATCTCATTTTTTTTCATATCGCGATATTAACGCAAATGCAATGACTCGTTCAGCCCTAAATAAAATTGCACATCAAACTGCAAATCAATCAATATTAATAAGGTTTTGACGTGTACTGTATTGCATTGCTTGTGTTGAGCCTTGGATGAGATCTTGACTGGAGGGTTTTGCTCTTCCACAGACTGAGAGAAGTGAATAATGCGCAAAGATTTCCACTGGTCCCACTGCTGCTTTTTTTTCATATCGCGATATTAACGCAAATGCAATGACTCGTTCAGCCCTAAATAAAATTGCACATCAAACTGCAAATCAATCAATATTAATAAGGTTTTGATGTGTACTGTATTGCATTGCTTGTGTTGAGCCTTGGATGAGATCTTGACTGGAGGGTTTTGCTCTTCCACAGACTGAGAGAAGTGAATAATGCGCAAAGATTTCCACTGGTCCCACTGCTGCGGAAATGCCCTGAGGCCGAGTCTGGACTGAAGCCAAGGTGAGCTTAGCAACCTGTGATGAACACACAGTCACTTTCTCTCACACTTTCCTCTATCAGATTGTTGGTTAATTCATGACATTGAAGGTCTAATGTGTGTTTATGAAACTACATAGTGAGAAGATGAAGAAAACACTTGTGTGATATACTGCGAAACAATTGAAAGTGTGAGTTGGTGTGGTTTGTGTGGGAGGCGTGACGTCATTTCCTCCCTGTATTTGGTTTGAGCAGCAAAAAAGGAACCTTGTTTTCTCTCTTGTTTGCATCCTTGATCACTTCCATTTTTCCTTCTGTCTTTTATTCCTCTAAAACAATGGTTTCTAACTTTTAAAAGCTCAGACTCGATAAATACGTATGCAAAATTATATATACATATATATTTTATTTTTAAATATATTTTTATAATTAATAACAGTTTGTGTTTATACATTTACTAATATAATATAACAAAATATATGTATGTATTTATATTTATGCATTTTTATATAATATATAAATAAAAATGAGAAATAAATACATTTATATGCAATATTATATATGTATTCAAAACACATGTAAATATTATTTATGAATATATAAAATATATTTCTATATATTTTTATATTTTAGATATTCAAATATTTAATACGAATGTATTAAAAAGGTAATTTAAAATTTTAAATATATTTTTACAATTAATAATGTTATACATTTAAATATTTATTTTTATTTATATATATTTATTATTGGCATGCATTCATAGATTCAGTCATTAGTTTGATTGTACAACTCCAGTAAGTGGCACTCAGAATAGCAGCCGCAAGTGAGCATGTGTTTGGCTGCTTGTGGATGACACAGTCGCCACCTGCTCTGCTTGAACCATTGCTCTCTACTGTCATGTGACTGAAGAGCAGGGTATTGTCTTGGTTTAAAAGAAGAGCGCTCGCTGTGAGCAGAGGAATTTTCAAGCATTTTCATTGGTTGTGTATGTAGCAGGGTAGGAGGGGCTGTTGGGGCTGGATTTTCCTGTATGAGGAGGGCAAGGGAAGCTGGGGGGTGGGGCAGCTGTAGCTGCTCAGATGGGATTTGCATTAGTAGTTTGTCAGCTGTCATTAAGAACAGATGACAGTGAGAGGATAAGCTGTTTGCACACGGCTCTCTCTCCTCCTCCTCCATGAACTGACCATTGCGTACACCTTAGAAAAACCAAAAGCAAAGTGTTTAATTTTGATGCAAGCAAGCAGGGCGTGAAATTTTAGCTGACGGTTAATTGTCATTTCAGTTAATCGAGATTAACAGTTTAATTGTCTGTTTTGTTCTTGTTACTTACAGTATATTGTGAGATTAATACGCATACTCTTCAGGAAGCAACTTTTTTCACAATGAACTTGGAAGAATATAGTAAAATTATTGCTGTAAAATTAAGGCTACTGTAAATGAGTAGAATAATAAGATTTGAAATATTAAAATAAAATATGTATTTCTTGGTCCATTTTGCTCATTGCCTTTTTTGAATACTTTAAAAATCTGAGAATGATATTGTCATAACTGTCCTTTGAATGAGTGTATGATGGTTAACAGTTTTTTAAAAATATGTTTGTTATTTTCTCATCTGGAGGTGATGAACCGCATACACTATATTTGTGCTATTAACTTTGTGTGAGAACGTGTAACAGCCACATATATTTGCCATTATGTAAAACAGTTTATTACAAACCACCGCAGACTGTATGTGTTCATATTAGGGCCCATCAGAAGTGTCTATAATGTACACGTTTCTCAAGATGTGCTCTGAGCAGGTTTTGTGATTCACACAACACATTACAGCAACAAAAAAGAGAAATAAAATGTGAAATTTGATTTAAAATTTGGCTGGAAATATGTAATTGGAATTTCAAGTGCACAATCATAGTATCCAGATGATTATGTAAGAATCATGAAAGATCTTCGACTGACTTGTTTTCTCTATGTGCATTCCAGCCCATGTGTCAGGTTATGCTGAGTGTTGCATGCGGTGTCAACTCCTCAGCGTTGTCCATATCTTGCAAAGACACTCTATATATATATATATATTAATGCAAGTTAACCATCAACACATCTATAGCCCTTAAAGGAACCTATTCTGTATTTAGAAATCACCGTCACTTATAAATAAGCCTTGAACAGTTAACCGTGCAGCACTTAAATTACTTGCACATTGACTAGGCAGTGTAGTTACATCCCACAAATATGTATTGCAGATGTAAATTCAGACGTCAAATAGCTGACTCCGTGATGTACGTGTGCTATCAGGGGATGTGTTGTTATTCAGGTAACTAGCTGTAACCATGTTGATGAGATCTAACTTGCTCTGCAAGATTCTTTTCAAACTGTCGCTACATCATTACAGCAGTTGACCTGAAAAAGAAAACAAACAGTAGACAGTTAATTCTAATGCTAATGCTAGAGCCCAAATGTAGTTGAGAGTGTTTTCCTATGCATTATGCATTAGCAGTGATATTGGATATTTTTTAATCAGAATTAGTCCGTTTATTGTTTTGTTTTGTCATACAGGAATGAGTCCTAAAACACCAAAACAAGTTAGAGTTTTTGTCGGTGAAATTTGCCTGAAATAAAGTGTGTGGTTTACACAAGCTCAAGATATTTTCACATTTATTCTATGGCATAATATTCAATGTCTTGGAAAAGGCAGTTGCTAAAAAGTGGCTAAATGGGACTACAATGTTTGTCAGGGGCAATAAATATCATGACGCCGAACAGGAAAAGTCGTCTACTCACTTGTCTGATTTTACAGCCTTGTTGCGTTTCTACTCATGCTCGTGCAAACTACTCGAACTCGAACTTTCCAAATTGTCGATTTTAAATAAAGATTGAAAGAGTTGCCAGCAGCTCTGTGTGATGATAACGTTGAAGTCATGCAATTGTGGTGTAGTTCATTTATAACTTCAGCTTTTTATTTCTGCCGACTATATTTAGGCTATAAAATTCATAAAGTTGTGTTTATTTGTTAAGATTATCTTGATGAACGTGTAAAAATCATAAACCCTTTGGTCATTGAGCCTCTTTTCTATAATATTCCAAAAGCCAATGGAAATCATACAGCATTTTTTTTTTTTGAGGGATCCAGGGGGATGCTAACTTCCAGGTTGGCTTACAAAAATCATCCCTGCAGCACTCTATTAGCTTAACACTTTCCTGAACTAGTTTGAACTGGTTGACATTTGTGTTTACAGAAACCTTTAAAAATTACAGTTAGCTTTCTGGATGTGGCAAACACATCTTGCTCAACTAATGTTCAATATTATTTAGTGTAGGTTAAGATGTTGTATTAGAACATCAGTGTGAGGCAGCTGTTTACAACACCCTTCTTCCATAAACTCTTTCTTTTAAGTAATTCAGAGAGGCTGGGACACAAGTTCAGAATTTTTCGACCAAACACGGAGGTGGTATTTAAGCTCATCAGCGATCTAATCTTCCGAGCTCGGGTTTGTCAGCTGCAGAATGTGGACCCTCCCACCTAGCATGCACTAGAGAAGTTTATTGATTTTTCTCACTGCATCTGTGCCTCTTGTAACCCAAAACCCATCAATACACATCAGAGATTTAACCCCCTCTGTTACATTTTCAGTTATGGGAATACAGTTAACCCATCATTTCGAAATGTTCCGACAGGCTCAGTGCTAGAGCAAACGGTACACTTTTGATGGACAGATAAGGGAAATCCATTCAAGCCACGAGCGTCCTGTGCCCGCGAGCCGCTCCAGATCCGCCGTTTGCCGCTTAATGTGTTTATTATACAGCGCTCTCCCTGTGGCAACTTGAAGTGGCTGTCAGTTTAAAAGATTCATGAATATGATCAGCTTTGGTAAATGGACGTTGGTTTTTTGGGCCTGCTTGATGCTGGTACTTTAAGACCATTACGTTCTCAGTAATTGTAGAGCTTATGAGTGGCAGGAACATCTCTCTTCCCCTCTCTCAGTCTAGCCATCTGGGACAGTGGCTGGAGACCAGGCCTGCGGCTCTGGGCAGGAGAGAATGTCAATCTCCCCTCCTCCTCTCTTCCTCTCTCTCACTATCTCAGTCATATACTCGTTGCCATCCCCACCCCCCCTTCTCATCCGCCGCTTGTTTTTTTACATTTCCTTGCTAGACTGTTTTCAAGTCTTTCACATATTCTCCATCAGCACTGATTGGTTTCATTTCCTTCACTTCCTGTCTCTGCTCGTTCTCGCTAGCTGACGTTTCGTCTTCGGGCTCATTATCATCAGCTGAAGAAGCTGTAAACACAGAATCTCCTGCAAATCTCCCTCAGACACTCGCTACTAATAAAAGCCCATCTGTTCGGCATAACCACGATCCCCATCGACCTTAGGGATCTCTCCACATTGTAATCAGTAATGTTGGGTAATAGCTGTGGGTTGCTCACAACAGCTCCACACACTCTTGTGTATTTTGGCTTTGCGTACCTCCACCCCCCCCAAACACCCAGATATTTAACTAATTTCACCTTTGAGCTGGATTTGGGCCCGGTGCCATCAGATGAGCGCGAAGGTTGGATTTACATGGCGAGCTTTAATGTATGATTATGATGCAATTCCCCTCAGTTTGAATCGCACTCCGGTCTGTATAGGAGGGTCAAGCAAGGACATTGTTCAAGGCTAGTCATTATACAAACCCTTCTAAGACCCCTGGACCGATGCAGAAGTGGTGCCCTTGCCATGTCCGAGAGCCCTACAAGCACAGGGTGTGTCACCAGTCTTGATCCCTCTGAGCTTTTCAAGCCACAAGATTACAGGGATGGCGCATGAAGCTTTGGTGAAAGCTGCCTCTTTGTCTACTCCAGGAGAATGATGGATTGAGTCTCCCTCCTCTGCTCCTCTCTTGAGATGTCTGTTGGGCTTTGTTTGGCAAGTTTAACCCTCTGTCTTTTGGTAGGCGCCGTGTTAACCTTCCACAGTATCCATCCCACAGTAGGAGCTGGAGGCTCAAGACTATAGTGTATCTTCTGCATTTTAAGCTGA